CTAACAGAACCAGATCAGTCTAACAGAACCAGATCAGTCTAACAGAACCAGATCAGTCTAACAGAACCAGATCAGTCTAACAGAACCAGATCAGTTGGGTCACAGTGAGATTCTAATGGAAAAGCTCCTCCACCTGTTCCTGACGCTCCTCCGTCCACCTCCGCTCCTCGGCCCCTCCGTCTCACGGCCACTCGCCTGAACTCCTCCGTCTCTCGGCCGCAGTTGAGCGTCAGACTGTTCCTCTTCTTCAGGTCGAACATGGCTGGTGACCTCCGCCCGCAGACACCGAGAGGAGAGGCCGACTCTCCGCGCAGCTCCGCCGCTTCACCTGCTTCAATCACCGGCTGTGAACTGACCGCAGCTGCCGCGGCTCCGGCTCTGATTGACAGAGCCCTGCACCCGCCCTCTGCAGCTCACCGACCAATCACAACCCCCCCTCACACCTCGATGCCAAAGTGGAAAATCAATTAACGAAAGAGACTTTGACAAAACCCGTAGCCAACTTCAAATTCAATACATAAACTATAAATACTTAAGGTCACATTTGAGTTTGCATTATTCCCAACAAATTATACATCATTAAAGATTTTCAACTTGAATAATTAATTCATCAAGATCTAATGTGTGATTTAAGTGTTCCCTTAATTTTCTTGAGCAGTGTAGTTTGGAAACCTGACATAGTCTCCTGGTGAAAGAGTGTGTGCACCATTCAGTCAGGTAATGAACCCACAACTGCAACAACAATATACATGCAGTGGGAATGAGTTGCAAATGACATTGACATAATTAATGTCACAGGCACTGCCCAGAAGTGGGATTTGAACTCATGCCTTTAGGGTAGACTGCGACCTGAACACAGCTACTTCGACCTCTCTGCTGTACGAATTTAAAAGTGCAGAATGTGGCTTCCTTTAGTCTGACAGGTTAGATGAGGCAAAACAAAATAACTTTCTCAGCAACAGAATCCCTGTGGGGTTCCCCACGCTACACTTTATGTGTGAATGCAGCGTGACAGGTGTGTCAAGCTGAAGCAGGTAAGACAAGTAGAAAGTTCACAGTGTACAGTGGTTCCATGGTGTAATGGTTAGCACTCTGGACTCTGAATCCAGTAATCCGAGTTCAAGTCTCGGTGGAACCTGATTTTGAGAGAATTCAAATGTTTAACTGTCCATCAACACATAATGGTATGTGATACTTCACTATTTGAATACGTACACATGTATCACATGTATCAGTAAAATCACTGAGGAACACAGGACCTGTCACAGAAGTTGTCACATTTATATACAGTATTGCAACACAAACCATGATGTTTACCACATTGTTGTTCAGAGCACCAGCATTGCATGATGTCAGGACTATATACTGATTTGCAGCGTTTGCATTAGCTCTGCTCTCTTCCTGTCTGCAGAGCTTCACCTGGCTGCAGTCAGGGAGGGTTGTTAAGGTGATGTGGTGACACCTGTGTAGGCCTCAACCAGGCTACAAATACAAGTCTGACTTCAGAGTCTCTTCTGCTCCCTCCTCGGCTCCACATCTCTCCAGGTTTGGGGTTTGTTTTTGGCATTTTTTCAGCAGCATGCCCAAGAGTGTAAATGATCTTCACCTTTTAGATTTATTTCCTGTTAAAATCACTTGGGTTTACCTGCCTTAGAGAAACAATGTCCCCGTACCAACTGGTATTAACATGTGTTTTTTGTGGGCAGCTCTAAGTTCAGTCGTCAACTCACTCATGTTGGATAGCGATTACATTTGGAGGTGGTCTGGGCCACGTGTGTCCACATTCTTTTAGCAGTATGACAGCAGATGTGATCCAGGGCCGCACATGAAGGACCTCCTACTCAATTGATGTCCACTGACCCGCTGCAGTTTCTCTATGAGAAACTGTGCCCATACGCTGATTTATTTTTTGTGGCCATTTCCAAAATATCAACACTGACCAGAGTGGGGGGAACTACTGCTACTCCATTGGATCAATGATTTTAAAACTGAAGTTTGAGCTGTGATGACATCAGCAGCATGAGGGTTTGATGCCTCTCAGCTGTCTTATGATGAATAAATAGCTGTTGTTGAAAATGTCCCTCTACCTCTGTGAATTGAATGTTTTTATTTGTGCTTACAGATCAGAGCAGGTTGTGCACCTTCTTAAAGAGAAGCTCCAGAGGTTTCCAAGGATGGTGCAAAGGCGATGATGTTGGTGTCCCACTTTGAGGCATCCATTTATGCTCCTGCTATGGTACTGTTTTGTTTTTGGACACCTGGCCTAAACATGTCACAGTTGTGTCATTTTCCATCAATAAGACTATACTGTGGTTCAGATTTTCACAATTTAGTTACTAGGCAGTCCTAGAAGAATATGTTTCCTGATTCCACAAGATACCTTATACTGTCATCCTCCTTATGATTGCAATTTGTGAATCTTTGTAGTTTTAAAGTGATCTCAAACGTGCCCCTCTCATCTACCACTGCCCCTCAGGCACTTCTTCGTTGTGCAGAGGATGTGACCCGCAGGTTAGCGGAGACCCTGCCATGGGATGGTCAGAGCAGGGAGCGCTTGCTCCTGGATCTGGAGAGGCTAAAGGTGGAGCTCCAGTCTGCCGTGCACTTCATTTTCAAAACCCACAGAACCGTTTCCAGCTACCATCACTACTTCAACAAGGCAAGTAGTCATGTGAAGTAGCTGAATAGATCAGTCGGTTGGCCAGCAATTTGAATCGTTGATCATTTTATGGCACATCTCATATCCACTTTAATGTACCATCTTACTGAAGAACACTTGAAGTTTGCTCATATACACTAAAAGGCAAATCAAATATTGTTTAGATATCCCATATTCACAAATCTGTTTGCAGTAGAGGGCTTACCTTTGGAAGTTGAGGTGTCAGTTTATATATATATATATATATATATATATATATACACACACACACACACACACACACACACACTATGAACCTGTTACTGTTCTTCTTACAGGCCAACAGCTGGTACAGTCTGCTCCTCTGTGAGAACATCCTTCAGGAGCTGCTGTCAGGAGTTGATGTAGCTGGTGTTCCTACAGAACAGCACAGGAGGGTGACCTGGGAAAAAAGGGAGAAAATCCCTGCATGGAGACACAAACTGTCGACTTTCCTAAAGAAGAATCCTCCACCAGATACAGAGGGGCTGGTTCACCTGGCTCGTCTGTCTAATGTCATCCCAGATGATGCAGTCCAGCAGGCGGGGAGGCAGATGTCTGAGCGGTGAGAGAATTTTCAGACTCTGTTTATCTGTAAGACGTCAAATTCTGTTCAATACAAAAAAGCTTCATCTGCACAAACTGTAGACATTTTGGATACTGTTACGTGACCAATGTGACATTCAATTATTTCTTATTCATCAGGTGCATGATCCTGAGGAACCTTCTAATTTCTTCAGGGCCTGTAAATGTGGGTCACCTCCAGCTGGCCCTACAGTGGCAATATGAGTTGTTGTGGAGCAGCCATGCAAATCATGCGGACAGTGCAACAAACAGAACCACCATAGACTTTCAAGACAGCCTTTTAAAGTCCAACCTCACTAAATGTGAGAGTGGTAAAGAAACGGCACATCCTCTTGCAACAAGTCCTTTGGCAGAAGTTTCTGAGATGGTGTCAGCTGCTGGTAAGTCCCCCTCCCTTAGTTCATTTGACTCTGGCTTTGATGGAGATGGGAGCAGCCGACCGGAGGCTTGGAGAGGGAGGGAGGAAGTGGAAGGTCTGCCTAGATTAGCTGTGATCAGGGACTGTTTGAGACCGGCCATCAGCAATCCTCAAATCCCTGGAGAGCACATCAACAGTGTTTCAGATCCTGTGGATCAAAGAGCGGAAGCTGACAGCTCGGGGACGAGCATCCAAATCGTTACTGAACTAACTGAAGATTCCCCCAACTTAGAGATCAAAATGAAGCTCTCAGCTGCACTACCAAGTAATGTTTGGCTTGGTTCACCAGTAGAGGAGCTGGAAAACATAGTAGTTATCGCGCACAGACCCACAATGCAGAAGACTGATGCCTGCACCCACTCCAACAGTTCTCCTGTTCAACCCACAAATATGGAGGCATCCAGACCACAGAGCAGGCACTGGATACAACTTTCTCAGAGCAGTTTGGATGATCCTGAATTAAGTCCCATCCGAAACGTACTCTCCAGCACTATTACAGATAGAAGAGACGAGTCCACCTCCACCACAGAGGGGATTCCTAGTCTTCTCTGGGATTCTTACGATCTTTATGACCACAATCAGGATGCTGCGGATGGGTAATACTTATATTTGTCTTCATTTGAGTCATTTAAATTTGAACCCTGTAAAAGGTTAAAATTGTAGCATGCACCTCAAGGCTACACACATGATAACACATGTTAAAAGACAGAGGCAAAAGCTATGTATAAGCATTTCGCTGTATTAAAAAAAAACAGCAAAGCAGCAGTTGGTTTGATTCCTATAGATGAGGACTAGGCATTTGTTGGCAGTAATGCTATCTCAGACAACTAGTTTATGTGGATCTGTGAGAAACTCTGCCAGCGTCAATATAGATTGCGATAGAGCAGCTGACTTTAGCCTGCTATCTCTGATACAGTAGCATCCAGGTCCAACTCCCAGAACACAACAGTGAATAATCCAGTCTTCATTGGGGCTTTTCCTTAATTAACCTGTATCCCCACAAAGCAATGTAATTGGCTAATGTTTCCACCTTTGTCTTTGGCAGGCACATCCATTGGCCACTGTGGAGCAGCGAGGACCAGCTTGATGTGGTAGGTTAATCACAAATAGGAATGTAAACTATAAATGGAAATTATGCTTTGGGAGACTGCAAAGATGATAAACTAAGTTATATTGTCACACTCTGTGACTAGACAACAAATATCTACATTTGATACAACCAGTTTGAACCAGCAGAGTTTGTTTATGAGGCTTTATCTGCTCATGTGCTTTTTTTAAAGATGTCGTACAGTGGGTTAACTGAAGCTGATGTTTATGACCTTGAAGACGACCTCGATCTGGCAGAGTGTGAGAACCTCAAGGAAGCCAGAACAACTGGATCTGCAAGTGACACTAAGGTTTCTGGAGATGATGGACACTGCAGTGAAGCTTCAACAGAAGCAGCAGCATTTCACATGTGGCCAGACCTGCTGACGCAGCTAAGGCTAGTCCACATTCTGGACATGGAGGAGCATCTGAAGACCTTTGACCTTCAATGCGGTGAAGAAACCCCCAACAAGGATCTCTGTGAGAGGCCTTCAGATAAATCATCAATTGTGAGCAAAGAGGGGGAGTTATCTTGGTTACAACTGGAAAAGGAAAAGAAGGAGGTGAAGCTTGAGAAGAGGTTAGACAAAGAGTGTGGAGTGAAGCACAAGGACAAAGTTGGAGAGGATTTGGTTCCTGCTGTCACAGAGGCTGCAGGCTCATGCTTCGGGGATGATCCATCTGGATGTAATAGAACTACCTTAGATAGTATCTTTGATTTAAAGCAACCTGCTGAAAAAACAAAAAACAAACTTCTGGGATGTGTCTATTGGAAAGATGTGGACAGATCTGGTGAAAATGCTACCATATGCAAACCAGAAGCCTCTTTAATCCCTGAACCGTGGCCAGATGATGGAGTGTTTGATCCTGGTGGAAATTCACCTCATCTTCCGATGCCAAGAAAAGCTTCACTTGCTATGAACAATAACCTTAGAGAACATGAATGTCCTTGTTCTTCAGCAGCTCGAGATCCTGGTTTTGTGCAACTTGAACTACAAGATAAATCAATTAAATCTCAGCAAGAGAATGTGACTCCAGCCATCAGTTGCCACTTTATCGATGTGTCTGAAATAACCCCAGGAGGTGACGAGGGGACACCAGCAATGGAAATCTGGACTTCATCTCCTGAGTGCCCAGTTGAACAGTCAGCACCACAGCTGCCTTCTGACCAGTCTCTGGAGTTGGACCCTGGTGGAAGAGACGACCTGACTGAAAACTTGCACGATGGTGTTCTGGCCCAGTTTAACATCGACATGAGAGAGGTACAGTATGAACTGCATTACATGGAGGAGCCATTATTTAAAGGAGACTTATTATTCTTAAGTTCTGGTCCATAATTTTGATTTGGTTTATTCCTAAAACGTTTACATGCTCAAATGATAAGAAAACGCATCACTGCTGCAGCTCCTCTTTTCAGCCTCTGTCTGAAACACTAGGTTTTAGCTCCTGTCTCTTTAAGGCCCCTCCTCCAAACAAATCCCAGTCTGCTCTGATTGGCCAGCTGGTCTATTCTGTGATTGGTCAACTGCTTCCGGTGTGTAGGAAATTTCAGCCCTCACTCTCCCTTTACCTGGCTTTGTTAGTGGCGTGCTAGATTAGCCGGCGGTTTGATCCCAGTCTTCTCCATTCAGAATGTCGAAGTGTGCTTGGGCAAGACACTGAAATCCAAATTGCCCCTTCTCCTAAAGAAAAGTGCTTCACATAGATGCACTGTATGAATATGTGTGTGAACGTCAAACTGTGTCATCTACACTAGAAAATATCTATATAAATATAGCCATTTACTATAAATGGATTAATGAGCAGCAGCATTTTCCTTGATTTATTCTTACATTTTTGCAGATTTTGGATTTGTCCTTTGGTCTGGGAATTCTCTGCTGCCTGGCCTGCATAGGTCTGACAAGTCGGGGAGTGGTCGCATCACCAGCGGGGGAGTGGTGGCGGCGGACCTTACCACCTCCATCAGGCAGGAAGAAACTGCTGAACCTAGCCTGCAAATCATTTTCAAGAAATGACCCCAAGACGGACTACTGTAAAGTCTGCCAGCCTGACTCCTGTGTAACGTACCACTTAAATTTTATTTATCTTATTCAGTGTCGTGGATTGTCTGAGCCAATATATAGTGGGGATCTTGACACCAGCAGGTTTTGTGGACCTTCTGTTTGCTTTATGCCTCAATCTTTTGAGATCCACCAATAATGGCAACAATAAAACATCTGTCTGTCATAAAATTAAGTCGATCTTTTTAACTGTCCTAACTACCTATTCTGTGTCTGTGTCCTGAGAGTTTAAGCTTTATTTATTTAAATTTTACTTACATATGTTTTTGTGATATGGAAAAGCAGAGATATTATAATATAAGCTACAAATAACTCAAATTTAAACTGCTTAATTTATGACCACAATAAATGTTCACTGCGCATGATGTAAGCCTTTCCAACCATTACTGAAGCTGCTGATAAGATCCTTCATGACAGACTGGGAAATGGGATTCTTGCCTCAGATCTATTGAATTATTTCTCATCAGTTTGTGCACAGCTGTCCTGCAGCTCTGTCTGCTGGAGCTGGGTGGTTTGTTAATGGTTGAACTTCCTGTTGTTGATCTGATCATGGAAAACAGGAAAATATCTGTCACCAGCTGATAATAAGACACGTCCCACATGTGTCATTTTGACACTGGAAGCACAGACGGATTAGGTTTATGGTTAAACGCCAAGCATCGAAGATCGACTTCAGTCAATGTCTGAAAACTTTGTGTCCAGAATGAGCAACTGAGGGACATGTGGAACTCTCTGTGCTCACTCCAAATATATATGTTAATTAATCGAATATCAAATTACTGTATTTATACAATTTGAAGTAAATTTGATATAACAATAATATTTTTCTGTTGGACATGGTGAAAGCTGTCTTCATTTTTCAAACTTTAATCATTGTAGCTGTTCATTTCCACCAGATTTTTGGAGTTTTATTATGACTTTTAAAAACATGTCTTTTTATTGGAAGATATCACTTGTTTTTCTTAAAATGTTAGTTTTAAGAAAAGTAATCCTCTTTTTTACGTGACCCTAATACTCAAATATCATGACTCAAGTTGAGGCAAAAGATCACTGTACAATTCGAACTGGAGAGGAGGGAAGGGAGGATTTGTCGGAGTTGAAGTTGTCTCAGTATTTCCAAATGTTGGTTCTCCACCTGAGTTTAGTTCTGGTTACTGATGGTTTGAATGTGGTTTGTTAGAAGTAAGTGATGAACGATGTGAAGCCCAGTGTTGGTCTGGTAATACCTTTTATTTCATCCTAAATAATCAGGTGATGTAAAATGCTACTGCTGCAGGTACGGTGTTTTCCTTTTGTCTCAAGTAGAGGTTTTCCTTCATATTTTGACTGCAGTGTCTTGAAACATTGGTTGTGTGGGATTTTTTTGCCACTTGTGCAGTAGTGTTTATTTTTCTGAAAGGTGTTAGAATGGTGCCAAAGCTGCTGGATTCATCTTGTTACCATGAATTCTGAAAAATCTTTGAAAATCGTCCAACCATGTCTTCATTCTTTTTCCTTTGCATGAAATTATTTGTTGCATGTAACGTTAGTTTGCACATTTTTGCGTGATTCCTTTGGCTGCATGTATTTTCTTCTATAAAGACATGGGGTTGACATGTGACCTAACGCTCAGGTATGTGGAGATCAATGAAATGTGACTGAACTCCAATGAGTCTTGCAACAGGGTAGAAATGAGCTGCTCAGGCTGCTTTTTACTGGCTGTAACAGGCTCTTTTTGCTTGTCTAGACTTTCTCCTCCAGTAAATATACTGCAACAATCTGGACTGACTCTTAGCAACTTTTCAGCTAAACCATGTTGTTTGTCATGAATGTTTTATATTAAATATTCTAATTATAATATTTTGTGTGGTCCCTTTTTGTTAATTTTCAATAGATGATACAACCTGAAACACATTTGATCATTTTCAGGTGAAATGGCCATTTTTTGAGGGTATAATTAAAGCTTGTTTGACCCAGACAGGTTTTAACAGGTGATATTATTGTGTCAGTGGTACTGTTATGAAATAGTAGTTTAAATTATATTTCTAATTTTGGTTCACTGAGATATGAACATGACAATACAGCCACAGTGTCCTCAATGAGCAGTAATGGGAGATTTCCAGGAGCTGAGAAATGACGAGTCTTTCTAAAACTGGACAGATTATACCAACCAAACATTAGATGTAGTTTCACCCTCACTTTTGGAGAATTTCTGGACAGCGGTAACTTCCAATATGACCTTTGACAAAAAGTGTGTTCATAATTTTCCACACAGAAAGTGCTATTACTGGGTTTTTTCCTTGAGCAAGATTGATTACCTTGGACCTGGCATACAGTAGACTGATTTCCCTGCTCACTGTCTTGTTATGCTGCAGTAAAAACGGAAGTTAAATGAAATGTTGATTTGTGAGCCTGGTTGCTGATAACCCACCTCAGTCAGAAACAACCTCCGGAAAGACCATGGATGTATGTAGTTCCATTTGTCCATAAGGCCAAACCGTCCTCATAAGAAGTCATTTTTCATTTTCGCCAGATCCATTTTTTATTTGGATCCGCACCAAATTACACACACTCATAAATAGCAGTCAACTAAACATGTATGATTTTATTCGTCAAGATCAATGAATTATTCTCTGAGAAATCAACGCACCCTGATTCAGAGGAAACTGCTCAATTAACTGAAGAGCATGACGTGGAGGACTACATCGAGGATATTACAGTCGATCCCACAGTGTTGGACCTGTAACACTCTGTCCCGGAACCTCCGGGGATGGTCCTCCGGTGCCCGCCCCGGTGCTGGTGTCTGTGCTTCCCCTGACCACAGAGGAAGAAGCGGTACCGCCCCCCTCCACTCCGTCGGCAAGCCACGTGTATTCGCTCTCCCTATACTCACCCTCGCTGGAACATTTCTGTGTTGTGATTGGTCAAATGTTGGAAATGTTGGAGAGAGGAAGAATCCGTCATCGCGACGTAATGATGACGTAGTCGGCCCTTACATACAAAAATCGCCAACTTCTCCACGCTCGAACCAGTCAGGATGGCCGAGCGGTCTAAGGCGCTGCGTTCAGGTCGCAGTCTCCTCTGGAGGCGTGGGTTCGAATCCCACTTCTGACATTACTTTTTTTTTTTTCAGTAGAGTTTTTAGCTGTTACATTGGGCATGAAGCAGAAAAGCACCTGTGGAGGGTTTATGTGTCCACTGCAACAGATAATACAGGTTTTCTTATATTAATATGAAAGCTACAGGCCATCTCAGCTCGATTGTCAGTGGGTCCTAATTTAAGAAGTATAACTTCAAGAGTATAACGTGTACAACTTGGATTCAGTTGTACAGAATGAACTCACAACTACTGCAAGACTCCCGATCAAAAGACAGCAAGACATGAAGTGTTAATGAGTTGCAGCGAGCTTAATGCCTTCTTTTGTGAAAGTACATATGGACACAGACATATCAAAATGTCTTTTGCTGTCAGAAGTGGAATTCAAATCCACGCCTCCAGAGGAGAGTGCCACTTGAATGCTCAACGAAAACAGTTGTTTCTGTCCCTCTACTCTGTGCTCTGACGTCATAGATTTGATGATTTGAGAGACTATTCTATTAATATTTTTTGGATTTGAAACTCAACTAATGATGCAAGAGTTTGTCCAAGTGTTTGGTGTTTTGGTGACGAAACCGACACCTGTGATTGGTTCATTTGAAGGGCTTGCTGCTTCTGGATTGGACCAGTGGATGAGGGAAGACAATTGAAACCCCAGCTGAAAGCAACCATCTACTCAAGGACATCAGATCTAACGTGAGGTTTGGACACACTGGGCTGATGAGCACACTGAACATCATGAAGACACATGGTAAAAAGGTAAAAGCGACTCAATTTTCATTATGGGAATTATAAATTACTCCTGTTAAATATTAAGTAAAAAGTCCTCAAGAGGTGACAATGACTTTTCACCTGACTTGTTATCAGGATGACGTCCACTATCTGCATGTGGATTTTTAAGAGAATTACTGAAGACATTTTTGAGAAACTTTAAGAGACGGTCAGCTCTGTTTTCATTGTGGCCCCTTCTGATTGAATATAGAATTTCTGCATTAGAATACTTTGAAATTTGACACGTAGCTACTGGAGGTCCTCCTCAACATGAGTGAGGTGCACATTCTTTGTCATCTCACTTGCGTGAGCAGGTACAATCTCCTGTGTGGCCCATACGAGTTCAAGAGTGATACTGAACTTCAGAGCAGTGAAAAAGATTACCTGATTTTCAGCCAGAAAATTATTAAAGTATCAAGAATTCCAAACAGTGAAACATAATCTGTAAAAAGTTAACTGCACAGGAAAATGCTCAATTTATCAATTGTGGCAGCAGAGGGCGCTGTTGCTTAGCAACAAGGCCGTGGCTCAGCGGTAGAGCAGGTCGTAACCGGAAGGTTGGCGGTTCGATCCCCGCTGGCAACAGCAGCCCACCGCTCCAGTATATGTGTGTACATGGCATCTGTCAATCTGTGTTTCTATGCGTGTTTCGACAGGTTTTCAACTGGATGGGTTAAATGCGGAGAACAATTTCATGTATGCATGTAAAAGTGTTAAACGTGACAATAAAAGTATTTCTTCTTCTTTAACGTAACCTGAGGGAGACAGAGGATAGTTTGTCTAGTGGACTTTTAACATATCTCCAACTGTAACGATTATATTATGTCACACTATATTATATCACCTTACACCATATCATATATCATTCTATTATATTGCATGACATTATTATCATACAGTATATTGTATCATAAAACATGTCATATCATATAGCATTCCATTTCTCACGATTATATTATATTACATTATAGTTGTGGGTTTTTTACATTATATCATAGTATATTATATAATACTACTATAATAATTACATTACATTATATTACGTAAAATTGTGTTATATTATGATATAATGATCGTTTAACAGTGTAGGAGGATAAAGGAGGTTATGGAAAAAAAAAGGGGGGGGGGGTAGTGAGAGAGAGAGACAAAGTGAGAGACAGAGACAGACAGAGAGAGAGAGAGACAGATGCAGAGAGAGAGAAGGGGGAGGTGAGAGAGAGACAGAGAGAGAGGGAGGCAGACTGTGAGTGGCTGGTGGTGTGAGCAGCAGCAGCTCGCATGTGTGAACAGAAGGCGGCCCGAGCCTCCTCCTCCGGTCTCATCTACCGTTTCTTCTCTTTTCCTCCCTTCATTTCCAACCACCGTCTCTTCTCCTGCTCGCTCTCCCCCTGCTTCCCTGCAGACGAGCCGGAGAAATGTCCGCCAGACCGGGCTTTTACCGGCAGGAGCTCAACAAGACCGTGTGGGAGGTTCCGGAGCGATACCAGAACCTGACGCCGGTGGGCTCCGGAGCCTATGGATCCGTGTGGTGAGTATGTGTGTGTGTGTGTGTGTGTGTGTGTGTGTGTGTGTGTGTGTGTGTGTGTGTGTGTGTGTGTGTGTGTGTGTGTTCGTGCGTGTGAGCGCGCAGGGGCGAGGCTGCAACATTTACTGAATACTGCCGGTGATGCATCAGCAGGGACATGTCAGGATGATCAGGCTGCTTGTGGGAACTGATGATGGGTTCGTTGTTGTCATTGTTGTTATTACTGGAGTATTACCAAGATATAACACACTGCCTCTGCAGCTGTCGTGTCAATAATTGAGGGCAAACATGAAATAATAGTATTCATTCTATCATTTCCATGTTTTAATCTGCAGATGAATATACAATTCTGTATGCATGTTATTGTCAGACATAGAGAAACAAGCTCAGCCACAGCTCAGTCTGCTGCTCATACATTGGTACCAGGGGGATTATAGACTGAGAGCATAAGTACTGGAATTTCCCAAATACACCCCCTCACACACACACACACTCTTGACTCTACACCCATTTCAAAATAACAAGCGTCTCTGCAGAGGCTATGTGTACTGGGACTCTACAGATGCCTGCCACATCTGGAGAGGGAAAGCCCATACAGGAACAGCTGCTCTCAGTGGAGATCATAATGCAATCCTGCAGTATATAGGCGAATGCATCATCATCATCAACATAGCATATACCTGCACACTCCTCACTATGCCTCCCACAGTCTGGATATCCATTTGTTCAACATTGCAATACGCAAAATGCTTTAATTTTGGACCGATCCATGCGAAATGGTGAGATCCCGTTGCCATAGCGATGGCAAGCACCTCCAGGAGTCAATAATAGTTAAGTTGTTAATAGCAGGCTGAAGGAATGAAGAGAAGACTGTTAAGTGCTTTCATGTGACTGATCCCCGAGGAATAATCGCAAAGGAGATGTTAAAGCTGCTTCATAACCTTACACACTGACACCTCTGGAACTTCTCACACAAAGCTTATAGAAAAGAAACAGCAGTGAAGTGTCATCCTGTGGAAATGACACCTTTTAAAGCTGATCTGATCCCTTGCACTCAAAGCTCAGCCTCAGGGCTGAAAGTCCCGACCAAGGTTCACGTCTTTGTTATGTTGTTTACATTGGATGTGGTTAGTCTTGGTTTTACATTGCAATGAAGGGAGCAGACTTCTGCATCTCATACATACACCCTGTAAAGAAACTGAATCTCATCGAGGAGTCACCACAATTTTCTCCATTCAAACAGAAAAACCATTACTCACCAAACTGACAAGCTGCCTTCAGACACACACCCAACTACAAACCAATCAATGTCAAGTATAAATAACTCACGTACTGTAGGTGACAGGAAGTGTTTATCCTACAACATTCCTTAGTCCACTCCCTAAATTACAATTACTAACCAAGTCAAATGTAAACAATGTAACAAAGACAGAATAGCGAGAGAGTCCAGACCAAACCGGTTAGGCGAGAAAGTCTCAGGCACATGTCCACCTGTGAGCCATCATTTTCTGTCTTTGCTTCATCTGTGTAGGAGAGGAATAGTCACAGCCCAACACAACACAAATTTCACTTTCATATCCTCACTTTGTCAGACAGGTTTTGTGTCTCTCTTATCCCTGAGATATCATCAAGCGTTGTGTCTCATCACACACTCACATTCTAGTGAGAAACAATGATGTGGAGCTCATGTCCCAGCCTGTTTATCCAAACAACTCAAGGAGGTTTCACTGACTTCTTATCAGGTTGATTAAGATACGTTCTGAATTAGCAGGAGATGAGATGTGCTTCTCTGTCTCTGCTCCGCTTGGTGATTCAGGCTCCCACAGAGTAGTTTGTGCATATAAACATCAAGCTTATATTGCAGCTTTAATGAGCTCTGCTCAGAATAGCGCAGAGAGCAAGAGCGAAAAAGAGCTGGATCATGACTTCACTCTCAGCTGATTCAAGATTATATGCACATGGAGAACGGTAGTATTTTCAAAGCATGCATTCGTTGTTATGTGAAGCTATGTGAGCAACATACAGTCCATTACTCTTATCTGAAGTGGTTATTCACTGGTTTGAGAGCAGCGTCTCTGTTTGTGATGAAGTCTCAGTTGCAACACACAGTATTTAGGGTCAGGGTTCGACTTCATCTCTCTTTTTGTGATCCATTATTTGTATTGATCGGTAAGAAAGTACAAGAGTTAACACGGTTTAACTATTTGCACCAGGGAATGTAAGTTCATGAAATCATGTGGAAAAATACAGACATCCTTAGTTTCAAGACAATTCTTCTACAATGTCCCAGGAAGTGATGGTTTAGAGTTTCACCAGAAGAGCATTTAAGAAAAATATGTTTTAAATTTTAAACCAGTCATTAGTTTATGATGTAATATTAATATTTCAATATATCAACTTAATTCCATTGGCTTGGTTTGTTTGGCCTAATGAGAAGAATATGAAAAAGCATGGACTTCACAGTATTTTTCAGGGCATCATATCTATAAACATCCCATAACGATAAATGGTGGAATGCCTATAGTTACTAGAACTCTTTTTTTAAATTATACACACAGACAAAAGGCATTCCTCCACACACCACCCAGCACTGCCCTTCATTGTTAATGTTGATCTCAAGCCATTGTCACTGACTTTCTCTTGACGAGACCCGGTTAGTAAATGGCTGGGGGGATGGGGGTGCAGAGTATGACATCTGTATGCGTGTGTTTTTTCGTTATGGGGGTTCGTCTCGTATAGACTTAGATGTGCAATAAACCACCTCTCATCATTTATCTCAAATAGCTACTCTCAGCGAACCCTCTTGAGACTGCAGGCCTGAGGTCAAGGATCCGGCCAGCTTCTATAATCCATTATAGCTGGAGCTGGAGAACCCATACCCGCCTCACCCGTGGGAGAAGGGGAGCCGACAGACATAGACACAGAGTTTAGAAAGAGAAGAGTACAGTAGGTGTAAGAGGGGAAATTGACGAGCGACGATGGAGGGATTTCAGACAAGCAAACCACAGACACAAGAGATCATAAATACAAAGCCTGTTTAATAATTTAGCATGCAGTGCCTCTGGAATTTTGATAAGTCATGAGAAGAAGAAAAGTTTTGCAGACATAACCCTGTCAGCTCTCTTGACTAATCCACACTCATTGTCCCCTCAACACATTGAATATTCTCTTTTCTGCTTTTGTTCCATCAGGCGGAAACTGGGCCAGTTTTGGTTCCAGTCGAAACTTAACATCAACAGAGGAAATGCACTAAGCTGCTTTCATCTCGTGTCTGCATGTGTAACATCTGCTCACTAATACAGAAATGTTTTTGCCAAAATTGCGAATATCTGCTTGGTTTTCTCCTGTCAGACGTTATGTCGCTGCTTGTCAGATTGTTGATTGGAAATTGGCCATTAAACGAGATCGGGCTTCTGATTTGTTGCTGAGGGTGATTGGATGGATGGACGAGCGTTTGACAGCAGCGCAGCTCAACAGACAGTTGCATGTGGGCTATCATGTTAGTTTTGGGGAGATAAAGTGCTTAAAGGAACTGAATCTTATCAATTAGTCAGTTTATTGATTAATCCAATCAAGTCATTTTAAAGCTAAATATGTATTGGTATGCCGTTAGATTGTGATTAGCACCTCCAGGGGTTGTGATTTCAAACCTGCCTGTTTTTTTGTTAGTAAGATTACGCAATAATTACGCAAAACATTGCCACAGAACTTGGAAGGAAGGATGTAGTATGGGTCAAGAAAGATTAATACGGATCCAGGAATTGTTTATGACTTTCTTCAACATTGTGAAATCGGGTGTTTTTTGGACATTCTGTTCATTTCTCCAAGGGTTATGTGTGAATATTGATTTAAATAATTTAGTTGTAGATTTAAATGTGGCGTCTATAGGGACGTAGGCTTTTTCAACTGCTGTATGGTAACAAATAGGGCTCGAAACCTGTAACTGCTACTAATGTATATCTGAGAAACACAATGTGGCCTTAACTATGAGCTGTGTTTCAATTCAAATCGTATAGAAAAGGGTAACTGGTGTATTTCAATGCAGATTTGGGCTACCAGGTGAATGAGCTGCTGGTTGTCATTTAGTCTGAATATACTACTGTTTTTAAATAACTACCAAGGTCAGAAAATCTACATAAAAGCAGTTGTTATTCGTGGATAAACTGTGAATCCTTAGCTTAAGAAAATACTGAGACAAAAGAAATCAATGCCTTGGCTCAGCTGTGTGTGAGCAGCGCAGTCAGACCCATGTATGGAAGATGGCAGGGAGGAAGGTATGTGTGAGGCCTGTTTGATGTCAGCGACAGAGGAAACTGGCTGCTGTCCTGGCCGAAGCCCTGCGGGGACATCCGGACTGGCGGCAGAGGGATTTCAGAGCCACATGGATGCACTCAAGTGCTGCTCGAGTGTAGTTTACTCAAGCATGTGAGCATCGCAGGTCACCATGAAATGATACACATTTGGCTGAATTGCACTCACGGCTGCACACTCCACGTCATGTTTTCTGTTTCAGAATTTGCTGTTTCCACAGGTCAGATTGTGGTTTCCCCTCATTACTGAGAAATTCCTGTGATGTACAACACAAAAAAGGGATTTTCCTTCATAAGAAATCAATAGCAATTT